AAGTGGCAGGCTCAAACCCAGAACCTCAACCAATGGCTAATACCAAATGAGAGACTCCCCCCTGGGCACACAAGAGGACTGTGCAACTTGGAAGGCGCTGAACAGACTGCGCTCTGGCATCACGAGATGCAGAGCCAAGCTCAAGAAATGGGGCCACAAAGTGGAATCCACGACACGCGAGTGTGGAGAAGAGCAAACCACTGACCACCTGCTGCAATGCAAACTGAGCCCTGCCACAGGCACAATGGAGGGCCTTCTTAGAGCAACACCAGAGGCACTCCAAGTGGCCAGATACTGGTCAAAGGACATTTAATCAACAACAAAAACTTGCAAATTTTGTGTTTTGTCTGTTTGTTTGTTTTGTTCTGTTAAGAAATGTAATACAATTGACTGGTTGCCCTGACACGACAAATAAATAAACAAATGCTGTGATGAATATGACTGCTCTCCTGTATCTACGTATGTAGGAGTGAGACCTATTCGCCCAAGAGGGACGCCTTGATGACGTCATTGAAGCACAGACCTTCTCCGGGCAAAGAAGCCAAGTCGGCAAGAACATCCGGGTACTTCTGGCGTAATACGGCCTACTATTATTCAATTGGTTTCTCTTTAAAGGCCTCATCGTTGCAGTGCGCGTCTGCCCAAAACTTGCTACTAAAGGAGCGGGCGGGTTGAACGGATGGAAAGCCGGAGGAGACAAAAGTAATCAATTGAGAGAGCGAACGAGAGAGAAGAGCGAGGAGGATTTAATATACAAAACAGCGGGCAGAGGGAAAGCAGGCCTGGCCGCGCATGCGCCCTGACACGCCGCTTTCCCTTTTCACGTGACTTAACCAGCCAATCATGGCTCGCAGCGGAGAATTTCGAACGGGCGGGAAGGAGGGGAAACAACAACATCGCCAACGGCTCGACGCAGCAGAAGCCAAGGACGACGTCGCTGAGGAACCGAACGAGCCAAGGTTCTATTTTGTTTGTTAGCGGCCAACATTGCAGCTAGGCCTCCGGGTGGCTCCGGGGATGGGGGCCTCTTAAGGGCCTCCTGGTCACCCACCTTTCCCCGTTCGCCAGCCTGGGCAGCGCCTGTGGGGCATTCACACTGGCCTTATCAAGGCCGCCTCACACCACTTTTAACCTTCATGGTTCTCAGTGCTGTGTCATCGTGGGACTTGCCGTTTGGCGCGACACAGACCAGGCCTCTGTGGCAAAGACCTTGTGAAACGACAGCCCCCATGTTTCCATCGCCTTGTGCCATGCATGACAGCTCAAAGTGGCAGTGTAGGCTCCTATAATCCAGCTCAAAGCAGATAATGTGGATTGTCTGCTTTGATAATCTGGATTATGTATTGTCGAAGGCTTTCATGGCCGGAATCACTGGGTTGTTGTAGGTTTTTTCGGGCAATACGACCATGTTCTAGAGGCATTCTCTCCTGACGTTTCGCCTGCATCTATGGCAAGCATCCTCAGAGGTAG